GCCTGCTGGAAGTCCAAGCCCCTCGCACACAAAACCTCCTTTACCCCCTCCCTCCAACCCTTCCTAGGCCGACCCCTACCCCGCCTTCCTTCCACTACAGACTGATACACTCTTGAAGTCATTCTGTTCGCTCCATTCTCTCTACATGTCCGAACACCTCAACAACCCTTTCCTCAGCCCTCTGGACAACAGTTTTGGTAATCCCGCACCTCCTCCTAACTTCCAAACTACGAATTCTCTGCATTTATATTCACACCACACATTGCCCTCAGACATGACATCTCCACTGCCTCCAGCCTTCTCCTCGCTGCAACATTCATCACCACGCTTCACACCCATATAAGAGCGTTGGTAAAACTATACTCTCATACATTCCCCTCTTTGCCTCCAAGGACAAAGTTCTTTGTCTCCACAGACTCCTAAGTGCACCACTCACTCTTTTTCCCTCATCAATTCTATGATTCACCTCATCTTTCATAGACCCATCCGCTGACACGTCCACTCCCAAATATCTGAATACGTTCACCTCCTCCATACTTCTCTCCCTCCAATCTGATATTCAATCTTTCATCAACCTAATCTTTTTGTTATCCTCATAACCTTACTCTTTCCTGTATTCACCTTTAATTTCCTTCTTTTGCACACCCTAACCAAATTCATCCACCAATCTCTGCAACTTCTCTTCAGAATCTCCCAAGAGCACAGTGTCATCAGCAAAGAGCAGCTGTGACAACTCCCACTTTGTGTGTGATTCTTTATCTTTTAACTCCACGCCTCTTGCCAAGACCCTCGCATTTACTTCTCTTACAACCCCATCTATAAATATCTATTAAACAACCACGGTGACATCACACATCCTTGTCTAAGGCCTACTTGTTTACTGGGAAAAAATTTCCCTCTTTCCTACATACTCTAACTTGGAGCCTCACTATCCTCGTAAAAACTCTTCACTGCTTTCAGTAACCTACCTCCTACACCATACACTGCAACATCTGCCACATTGCCCCCCTATCCACCCTGTCATACGCCTTTTCCAAATCCATAAATGCCACAAACACCTCTTTAGCCTTATCCAAATACTGTTCACTTATATGTTTCACTGTAAACACCTGGTCCACACACCCCCTACCTTTCCTAAAGCCTCCTTGTTCATCTGCTATCCTATTCGTTCCGTCTTACTCTTAATTCTTTCAATTATAACTCTACCATACACTTTACCAGGTACACTCAACAGACTTATCCCCTATAATTTTGCACTCTCTTTTATCCCCTTTGCCTTTATACAAAGGAACTATGCATGCTCTCTGCCAATCCCTAGGTACCTTACCCTCTTCCATACATTTATTAAATAATTGCACCAACCACTCCAAAACTATTTCCCCACCTGCTTTTAACATTTCTATCTTTATCCCATCAATCCCGGCTGCCTTACCCCCTTTCATTTTACCTACTGCCTCACGAACTTCCCCCACACTCACAACTGGCTCTTCCTCACTCCTACAAGATGTTATTCCTCCTTGCCCTATACACGAAATCACAGCTTCCCTATCTTCATCAACATTTAACAATTCCTCAAAATATTCCTTCCATCTTCCCAATACCTCTAACTCTCCATACATGTACAAGCATATATGTATATACACATCCCTCTGGGTTTTCTTCCATTTTTCTTACTAGTTCTTGTTCTTGTTTATTTCCTCTTACCTCCATGGGGAAGTGGAACATAATTCTTCCTCCATAAGCCATGTGTGTTGTAAGAGGTGACTAAAATGCCAGGAGCAAGGGGCTAGAAACTTCTTCTCCTGTATATATTACTAAATGTAAAAGGAGAAACTTTCGTTTTTCCTTTTCGGCCACCCCGTCTCGGTGGGATGCGGCCAATGTGTTGAAAGAAGAAAGAAGTCTGTCGAGTATACCTGGTAAAGTGTATGGTAGAGTTATTATTGAAAGAATTAAGAGTAAGACGGAGAGCAGGATAGTAGATGAACAAGGAGGCTTTAGGAAGGGTAGGAGGTGTGTAGACCAAGTGTTTGCAGTGAAACAAAGGTGAACGGTATTGAGATAAGGGTAAAGAGGTTTTTGTGGCATTTATAGATTTGGAAAAGGCATATGATAGGGTGGATAAGGGGGCAATGTGGCATATGTTGCAAATGCATGGAATAGGAGGAAGGTTACTGAAAGCAGTGAAAAGTCTTGACGAGGATAGTGAGGCTCAGGTTAGAGCATGTAGGGAGATTATTTCCCAGTAGAAGTAGGCCTTGGACAGGGATGTGTGATGTCGTCATGGTTGTTCAATATATTTATAGATGGAGTTGTAAGAGAACTGAATGCTTGGGTGTTGGCAAGAGGTGTGGGATTAAAAGATAAAGAATTTAACACAAAGTGGGAGTTGTCACAGTTGCTCTTTGCTGATGACACTGTGCTTTTGGGAGATTCTGAAGAGAAGTTGCAGAGGTTGGTTGATGAGTTTGGTAGGGTATGTAAAAGAAGGAAATTAAAAGTGAATATAGGAGAGAGTAAGGTGATGAGGATAAAAAAAAAATTAATTAATGGAAGATTGGATATAAGATTGGAGGGAGAGAGTATGGAGTAGGTGAATGTACTCAGATACTTGGGAGTGGACGTGTCAGCTGATGGGTCTATGAAAGAAGAAGCGAATCACAGAATTAACGAGGGAAAAAAGGCGAGTGGTGTACTGAGGAGTCTGTGGAGACAGAGAACTTTATCCATGAAAGCAAAGAGAGGAATGTATGAGAGTGTAGTTATACCAACACTCTTGTATGGGTGTGAGGCAAGGGTGGTGAATGTTGCAACTTATAGCTCCGGTCACTGACCTTCAGTTTGTACGACGCAGGGTGGTTTTTGGAGACATTTTATGGAAAAAAAAAATGCACCTAATAAGCCGCGAAATACAGTATGTCTACGGCTCAGTGTTGGTGCTGTAGATCTTTGCATAAATCATAGCTCACTCAAGTTTGGCATGAGCAACAAATTTTAACATGAGAGAATAAATTTATGCAGTGTTAACAACAATCCTGCTCCATGCAGTGCGTGATGGGAACAGCTGACCTCTGCATTTGGATTAAAATAGCAACTTTGGGTATTTTCTAGAGTGATTTTCATAGTTTTATTTGTGCCAATAAAGAAGAAGACATACTAGTGAAAGACAAGATATGGGTCAACAGTGGTTTGAAATAGGTATTAAATTACTGGGACTGCCCAAACCACGACCAAGAATTTTTGGTTATGGTTCATTATCCCAAAAAATTGGGATATGCGACAACTTCCATGACAATGCATTCAAAATAGAGGGCAAGAGTTACATAGGAGAGTCCTGAAAACATGATTAATGAACAAAGGAAAGCATGCTTTAGTGGTTGGAATGCTTCAGTTTTTTTAACTTCTTAAATAGAAATTTGTTGAAAATAGTGTAAAATTGGCCAAATTACCAACTTATGGATTTTTAATAGGGTAATTCTGATGACTTCCTTGCTATTGCTGGAATTGACCTGAAATAAGTATTTAATATGGCACAACCACTGTTCCATGAAGTAATTCCTTATGCACCTAAAGTCAGTACCTGACCAGCTGGGCTGTGGCTCATATGTTGGATTGCGTGCAGCCAGCAGTAACAACCTGGTTGATCAGGCTCTGATCCACCAGGCGGCCTGGTCACAGACCGGGCCGTGGGGGCGTTGACCCCCAGAACTCTCTCCAGGTAAACTCCAGGCATTTCATCAAATTTCAGGAGAATTTAACCTGGGACCTTCAACAGTTTAATTAAAGATGTTCAGACATACAAGCAATGTCATAATGTTTAAGAAACATAGCTACAAGCAATGCTATAATGTTTAAGATATATACATGCGATGTCAATGTCTAACAGATATATAGGCTGCACTAAAAGTTATGACACTTGCTGCAGGGCAAACTAATGATCAGTTCAACATATGACAACAAATGGTTGAGGTTTGGACTTCTTAGAAATCTTGGGAACCACTAATACACCAACTGCTAGTGGGGCCATGCAGCTGTATGAGTTGGTTCATCTGTCTTTGGGTCAGACTCTGCACAATGGTCAATGAAGCTCAGACAATACAATAGCCTATTGGATGGACAACAATTTTAGGACAGTTTTGTAGTGTTTTCTTCTCTTTTTCATGGACGCTTCAACTCTAACAGCCATAATGATGTACCTCTGGAGCAGCCATGATGATGCACCTCTGAAGCAGCCATGAAGCAGAGAAAACACCGTCCTCTTCTAACATTAGTAATCATGCATGTTATCAGCTAAGCTTCAATGAACATAATGCAGAGTTCAACCCAAAGATAGAAGAGCCACTCTTGCAGCTGTATGTCCCCCCCCCCACTTGAAATTAGCGTATGAAAGTCCAGGCTTCAAATCATCTGTTGCTGTGTGTTTCAGTGACATTGTACAGTGCAGGCTGTACAATGTTGTAATGTTTAACATGTATAACTAAAAGTAAGGTCATAATATTTTACAGGCATAAAAGAAATGTCAAAAGAATGTTTAACATAGCACAGCAATGTTATAATGATTAACAATGTCATAATGTTTAAGCCATACAAGCAGCTACATTACATTTAATGTAGACACTGAAGCAATGTTATAATGTTTAACAGACATTTAAGCAATGTAACCTGAGGGTTACCTGAGGATGATTTCGGAGGTCAATGCCCCCCGTGTCCTAATCCCATACCAGGCCTCCTGGCTGATGACCTGATCAATCAAGCTGTTGGTGTAAATCACACACAGTCCAATGCATGCACCACAGTCCAACTAAACCAGAACTGACTGAGTAATTTATCAAACTTCCTCCTGAAGTCAACTTGGAGTCTGTTGGTAATTACCCTTACGTATGAAGGGAGGTGCTGAAAGTTTTGGTCCCTGTGCACTTACGGGATAACTCTCAGTGTACTCATTGTACCCCCCTACTTTTCACTGGGGCATTCTGTACTGTCCACAGAATTGTACTCACCTTAAACTTATTAAGACCAGGGCTGGGAGGAGGAGAAGACGCACAACCACCATCAGAGAGTACTCGCAGCCACTCAGGGCCAAACTTCAGAGCAGTTTCTGACATTTTGTTTTTACTTCAAACTCCTTGGGGGCTGACCGCTCAGTTTACAGCTGAAAGAGGAAATATACACTATAAAAAAAATCAAACTTACTGTGTACATTATTACATTACTGAAACTCAATATTATACAGTGGACCCCCACATAACAATTACCTCCGAATGCGACCAATTATGTAAGTGTATTTATGTAAGTGCATTTGTACGTGTATGTTTGGGGGTCTGAAATGGACTAATCTACTTCACAATATTTCTTATGGGAACAAATTCGGTCAGTACTGGCACCTGAACATACTTCTGGAGTGAAAAAATATCGTTAACCGGGGGTCCACTGTAGTTCTAATTAAAAAATGGCGAGAATACATCTGCTCTACAATAGGTATTGTACTACAGTATGAGTAAATAACTGAAAGTGATCACTTTAACGAAAATCAGCAAATTTC